GTTTCCTAGATCCTTACTTTTTTATGTTATTACAATTATAATACAGTATTTAATTGATTAATTATATTACTTTACATACATGGCTATATATACATCGATCCTTATTTCCATTTTCCCTTGTTTGTTTAATCGGTTTCACTAGACATCTTTACTTCCTTTTTATACAACCATTTGTACCATATATTACAAGCTGTAAAAAACTCCCCCTCTTCCTTATTTTTTAGGAACATGTAAACCCCTTTTATTTAATTTACAGTGAATTTCTTCTCCAGCAAAGCCCCGGCCAACAGTCTTTCATGATAGTTCTCAATTACAGACCTTTATCAGGCTTGGAGAGTTGCCAGGCTGACATCTTTCAGACGCCACAATACTTGGCAAGAATGCAGGAATGAAGTAATTGTCTCCTGCAAACACCACTCCCCTTTCGCTCCTCTTTATTTCCTATGGGAGGGGCCATTTTTCTTCTGTAACTGTTCCCTTCTCCTGGCAGCTCTGTGCATGCGCACATCGGGAACAGGCTCCAGCTGTTCTTCTTCCCCACTGATCTCCGCCTCCAAAGGGAGCTGATAATTGTCAGATGGCCTTGGCTCCATCTCTGCCTCCGACGCAGAGCCCTCGTCAGAGCCTTCCCCAGACTCCAGGACTGGCCCATGTTCCTCCCAACCTCCTCCATTGGCTGCTGTCAGGCCACAACATTTCTTGCCTGGAGAGAAAACACAACAATATTATGCCAGTAGTCCTCGATTTACGATGATCAATTGAGCCCGCGATTGTTCTGGGTATGCGAGGCATTTGTTAAGAGAACTTTCCCCGTTTGACGAAAGATGTAAACATGAACATCTTCCTTGGCACTGTTGTTAAGTGAATCATTGTAGCGGTTAAGCCAGCAACACAGTTGCTAAGTGAATCTGGCTTCCCCATTGACGTTGTTGGTCAGACGGTTGCAAAAACGTGACCCCGCAACTGTCATAAATATGAATCAGTTGCCAGATGCCTGAATTTTGATCACATGACCATGGAGATGCTGCAGTGGTCTTAAAAGTATGAAAAATGGTCATAAAAGTCTTTTTTTTTCCCTGTAATGTCGAACGGTCACTGAATGAACTGTTGTAAGTTGGGGACTTACAACAGTTCATTCAGTGTAGTATTTAGTTTGCTTCACTTGCCTGCCCTTGATGTTACTTAGCCCCCGTTTCCATCTCGGTTGGTTTTGATTGCACAAATTATTCTCGTGCGACAAAATTCCTCAGATCTGCCTGAAATCCTGTATTGAAACTTCACGGGAAATAACTCGAGTGTCAGGATTCTGGCAGCTACTCCCAATTAAATCATGAGTCTCGAGCCAAACTTCCAAAACTCCAAAAGGATTTATTGGGAGTTAACATGGCAGCACTGCCTGGGTGCAACTGACTCTGATAAATATGAGTCAAATATGAGTCATCATTCATTGTCACCCTTGACTCTGGTTTTCCCCCTCCCCCTGGGTGTATCATAATTCATATTCTCTAATGGGACGCATCCATAGCCCAGAGCCATCAATCATGCTCTCCAGTAAGATATTTGCGCGGCAGAAACTTCAGTCACATAGTTACTATCTTTGAAAAGCTATTTACGGAATGCAGTTTTGGTTTCCAAGCTGCCGCACTGCTCTTTCAAACCCCTTTCCCCCCCTCCCCTTTCTGTCGGCAACTCTAAAATGTCCCTAGAAATAATTTTATGAGTTGACATTGAGAATCCTCTTTGCAGATCTTTCCGATGGAGGCGCCAAACACTTTGCGAAGACCGTCTCGCACTTAAAAGAAAGGTATGGGGAAATAGGAATACGCCGAAGGCAAAAAACAAAAACAAAAACCCTCCTGATTTCTGAAGAGAGATTACCTCCACGCGGTCTCCTCGACTCTTCCGCATATTTACGCACGGGGTGGGCTGCTACGGGTTCGTCCCAGTTTGGAAGAACCCGTAGCTAGTTTTATGGGCGGTTTGACTGGCCTCACCCACCCGCCCCAAGGCCTGTTTGGATGCCAGGTAAGTGCAGGGCCTGCGTGGAGTCTCAGGGAGGGCAAAAAATGGGCCAGAGCCTGGGAGAGGCCACTTTCGCCCTCCCGGAGGCTCAAGGGAAGCCTCCGGAACCTGGGAAGGAAGAAAACGCCCGTCCCCCATCCCGCCATGGTGCAGGAGGCCAACTAGGCAATGCTCATCATGGCCAGGCTCACCTAGCAACCAGGCAGGGGTTGCCAACCTTTTGGACCTCAGGGACCACCAAACCCATAATTTCAAATTGTAAAAAGACTTCAGGTAACTACAAATGTGGCCAGAGGTCCATTAACATTACAGTTCTGCTTCCGGGTGTCAACCAGGATTATTCCTGGTTAAATCTGTGGCTCTTTGAGGGATTACACTGGCTAAACCAGGGGTCGCCAACCTTTTGGACCTCAGGGACCACCAAACTCATAATTTTAAATCCCGCAGACCACTAATATGAATTTTGACTGATGGTGGCTTGCTGACGTTGGTGAGAAAGTCGGTCCCATGTTCCAGAACTGCAATAGTCACAGGACTGGCCCTTTGGTCGTCCCGGAGTAGCTGCTCCTCCACCCGGATGCACTGGCCTGCCATGGACCGGAGGAGCTGCTCCAGGATGACCAAAGGGCCAGTCCTGTGACTCCTGCAGCTCTGGAATAGGGGACCGACTTTCCCACCAACGCCAGCAAGCCACCCCGGAGCGGATTTCCCTCCCCTGCCATTGGTCTTACCTTCCAGTTCCGGCTTGCGTGGCTCTACTCAAGGTAAGGTTTGCGCTCGGCCGAAGGGTGGGGGCCAGCGGGTGGGCGGGCCATGTGGGTGGTGCAGCCTTGTGTTCCCACGCAGCCTGGATTAATTGCTTTGGGGGGGGGACATTTCTCTGCGGACCACCAAAATTTACTCGCAGACCACCAGTGGTCCCTAGCCCACTGGTTGGCGACCACTGAGGCCAGAGGACCGGTTGCCGATATTTTTGAAGGCCACCCCTGTTTACACAGTTTTCTTGCTTTGCAGGAATCCCAACATTCTGGTGGAATGCTTAACGCCCGACTTCCGAGGGGACCTCGAAGCGGTGGAGACCGTGGCTTCGTCTGGATTGGACGTCTATGCCCACAACGTGGAGACGGTTCCCGAATTGCAGAGGTGAGGGGAGGTGATCTTCACAGCCAGAAAATGTCCTCGTTCAAAGGGACATTGGGTAGCGGCCCTGACGGCGAAGCTAGGGCACACATGCCAGAAGTGGCATGCAGAGCCATCTCTCTGGGCATGCAAGCCGTCGCCCCGTCGCTCTTTCGAGTTCCAGCACACACGCATGCGCTTCGGCCAGCTGGTCTTCGTGCGCATGGGAATGCCAGGAACCGGAAAAGCATCTCCCTAGCGTGCATGTGCGCTGGCCAGCTGGTTTTCGTGTGAGCATATGCGCCAGAAACTGGAAGCTCAGCTTCCCAGCATGCACGTTGGGGAGCTGCTCTTCCAGTTTCCGGTGCTCCCTGTGCGCATTCCAGGGAGCTGCTCCTCGAGTTCCAGTGCTCAGCATTTCATTATATATCTTAAAACTGCAAAGCACCTGACTTTAAGGATGCTGCCAACTTGTCATAGCAAGACGGTGCGGTTTCCCATTCCTTTAGCCTCAATGTTACAACAGGGTTTATTTTTACAATGCGCTTGAAGCACCCATGACCTCTTGCCAGTTAAGCAACCGCCAGTGCTGCAACGCACAATTTTGACCTACTTAAAAGGTCAACAATTTTCAGCACCTAGGGTAATATTGATTTTATTTCAGGCCCTTAATATACATGGATCGTGCAGGTTTCAAAAGGCCTTCATTCAATAACCAAGGTGTACATTAAATTGTTTTTTCTCCTTCTATGCCTCCTGGCAGCAAATCCCAAGCTGCACTGGGGAATTCTGGGAGTCGAAGTCTACCCATCTGAATGTTGCACGCTAGAGAAACGCTGTTCTCAATCTTTTTCGGTCTCAGAGCAGGGATGAAACTTAGCCCAAGGATGGGCTGCTACCGGCTCTCCCCGGTTCAGGCAAACTGGTAGCTAATAGAGAGCTAATTTTATGGCCGGTTCGGTGAACTGGCAAATCCCACCCCTGGCTGGCCCTGCCCAGCCCCTCCCAGGAGTCCCCACGTGGCCCGTTTTTCCAGGTAAGTGTCAGGGATCTGACAGACCACCTCCGTTCAAATCATAAGTCTCTAGTCACATCTCTCAGAGTAAAAAAATAATAATAATGATTTATTAGGAGTGACCATGTCGGTGTAATCTGGGTGCAGCCGACTCTTACGACACATCATTCATTTCATCCTTAACCCTAGTCTTCCCCCCACCTCCTGGATGTATATTCTCCAATGGGACACATCCATAGCCAAAAGTCATCAACCATGCTCTCCAGTAATAATCTTGCACGCCAACAGCTTTGGCTGCCTAGCAATTACCTGAAGCATTTAAGGAATGCACTACTTTCCCTCCTTCCTTTTTGCTGGCAGCTAAAAACACCGAAGAAGTATTTTTTTAGTTGACAGTAAGTACAGGGCCCATGTGGAGGTTCAGGAAAGGCGAAAAAACAGTACTCGCAGAGGCTCTGAAAAGCTGGAAACAGGTCCATTTCTGGCCTCCAGGGGGCCTCTGGAGCCCGGGGAGGCTGTTATCGTCCTCCCGGGGGCTTGAGCATAGTCTCTGCAGCCCAGGGAAGGTGAAAACGCTGCCCCCCTGCCGTAGTGCAGGAAGCCAACTAGGCCACGCCCACCATGGCCACGCCCACCCAGCAACCGGTAGCTAACATTTGTGAAGGCCCCCTCCCCCAGACTTAGCCAGAGCTGCAACAAACCTAAGATCCGTCCAGCTGTTTTACCTGTGTTAGGCTAAAATCTTTTCCCTTCCTTTTTTCCTTGCAGCAAAGTTCGGGATCCACGGGCCAATTTCGAGCAATCCATTCGCGTTTTGAAGCGCGCCAAGGAAGTTCAGCCGAAGGTGATTTCTAAAACGTCAATCATGCTCGGCCTGGGTGAGACCGACGAACAGCTGCACGCCACCCTGAAAAGTAAGTGGAGAGGAGAGGGGATGGTTAAAGTAGAGGGTCAATAATAATAACAACAACAACAACAACAATGAATCTAGGCCCCACCCCTATTTACGTGCGTTGTAGACAGCTCCTCCTCGACTGAACGACCCACCATTGAACCCCCCCAAATTCTATTGTAGCTAAATGGAAATGTTTGTTGAGTTTTGCCTCCTTTTACGACTTTTCTTGCCATCGTTGTTAAGTGAATCAATGCCGTTAAGTTGGTAACAGGTTGTTAAGCGAATCTGACTTCCCCCGTTGACTTAGATTGTCAGAAGGTCACAAAACGTGACCCCACGATGCTGCAACTGTCGTAAGTGTGGGAAAAAAGGTTATAAGTCACTTTTTCCAGCGCCGTCGTAACTTTGAACGGTCACTAAATGAACTGTTGTGAAGTCGAGGTGTCAAGTCAAAAATATTTCTCTGGCCTTTTAGAGATGTCAGCAGAAAAGGGAGTTGGGGGAAGCAGTGCATTCCTTAAATGCTTCCATAGATGATTTCTAGACGTCCAAAGCTTCTGGCGCACATTATTATTACTGGAGAGCCTGATTGATGACTCTTGGCTATGGACGTGTCCCATTGGAGAATATGAATTACGATACACCCGGGGGGTGGGGAGAAAGACCAGGGTCAAAGGTGACAATGAATGATGTGTCTCAGAGTCGGTTGCACCACGAGGACTTGCCTGTAGAGGATTCGCATTACAAAAAGAAGGGTTAGGGGTTTTTTTATTTTTATTTTTTACACCTTACCTCCTTTCCCATTTTTCTATCTCTCTGCATTTCTTTCTTTCTTTACTTCTTACATTTTCCTTAGTTTGAATTAAGTCTACCTGTATCCTGGTATATAGGTAGTTACAACACTTTTATTGAGTGACAGCTCAAAGTCACAACAGCACTGAAAAGGGACTTATGACCATTTTTCAGACTTTGGACCGTTGCATCATCCATGTTGTCAGGATTCCGGCAGCTGCCCCCAATTAAAGCATGAGTCTTGAGCCAAACTTCCAAAACTTCAAAAGGATTTATTGGGAGTTAACATGTCCGGCATTGCCTGGGTGTAGCCGACTCTGAGATACATCATTCATTGTCACCCTTGACCCTGGTTTCCCCCCCACCCTCTGGGTGTATCATAATTCCTATTCTCCAATGGGACGCATCCATAGCCCAGAGCCATCAATCATGCTCTCCAGTTAGAATTTTGTCCGGCAGAAACTTCGGTCACCTAGTTACTATCTTCGAAAACATTTATGGAATGCAAGTTGCCCACTGCTTCCCCCTTCCCTTTCTGTTGGCAACTCTAAAGACCAGAGAAATATTTTATGAGTTGACATGTGGCCACATGATTAAAATTCAGGCACCTGGCAACTGATTCATATTTATGACAGTTTCAACATCCCGAGAGTCATGTGATCCCCTTTTGCGAGCTTCTCACAACCAAAATCGGGGGGGGGGGGGAGCCAGATTTACTTAACGACTGTGTTCCTCACTTAACAACTGCAAGGATTGACTTAACAACCGCAGGAAGAAAGGTTGTAAAATGGGGTAAAACTCACTTTACAAAGGTCTCCCTTAGCCACAGAAATTTTGGATTCAACTCTGGTTGTAAGTTGAGGATTAGCTAGGTTTGTAAACTAAAATAATTGTAAAAAAAAAAAAATAGGGGGAAAAATGCCAAATCCTGGTTCTGTCAATTACTAAAAATATCTATTTTTAACAACAAAATAGGATTACGTGAAGCCGATGTGGATTGCTTGACCCTGGGACAGTATATGCAGCCAACAAAACGGCATCTGAAGGTATTTTATTTTAGAACTAACTGGAAGATTGAAGGCTGTTCATTGCTTCTGATACTCTAAAGCTGTTCTGACCAAGACTTCCTGAGACCGTAATTAAGCACACGCTTAGTCCAAACAACCCTTGTTTTATTTCAACAGCTGGGAATTATGTTCATTCTCAGCCCATAATGAGTCCCAAACAGTCCCTCGAGATAAGCACCCACCTTTCTCTCCTTTGAATTGCTGCCAACAACTAAAGTGCCAAATTAACTGTAAAAAAACCAACCGAAATAAAAAGTCAATACAGAGCTTCAAGGTTTAATCCGAACAGAGTGAACGACTTTGCTTCCTGCAAAGGTTTCTCTACCTTTGCATTTCCTTTATACCTTATGGGAGGGGCAATCACCTCCAAGCCTTCCTCCTGAGTCGCCCCTTTTGTCTTAGCTGCTCTTGCCTTCTGGCAGCTCTGTGCACATGTGCACTAGAAACAGGCTTCTTTTGTTCCTCTGCTTCGCTGCTGCCAGACTCCAAAGGGTCCAGAGGCAGCACCCCACTCCCAGATGGTCCTGGCCCCGTCTCTGCATCGGATGCAGGACCCTCATCTGAGTCCTCTCCAGACTCCCAGTTTGGTCCCTGTTCTTCCCCACTGTCCGATTTCGCTGCTGTCTGCACAGGCTGCCAGCGAACCACAATAAAAACCTGTTGGAAAATAGCTGGACTAATATTAAATTGGATCGTACTGCTGACAATAAACATTTTGAATGGAGACCCAGTTGTTCGGCTGGTAATATCCCTCCCCAAGCGCAAAGCAGGTGTTTGGAGCAGTTTGGAAACAATACCACGATCCAAATAACCCCTGAAAGCCTCCAAAAAGCCCTTTTTGAAGGTTTGAAAATGTTCAAAAACTCCTTTTTTTTTTTTTTTTGGTTTTTTAAATCGTTTCACGTTTGAGATGGGACCTTTCAAACGTTTAACAAGATGGTTCAATTTCCGAATAGTTCAAATTCAGACATGTTGCATACTATGACAGTAGCAGCAAGCTCTGCAATTCCTTACAAAAGAACCAGGGGGGGGGGGGGGCGGTATTAAAGAGTGTTTAAACAGCTGTTTACCCAGCTGTGAGATTTAATAGAGGACCCAAAAGGATCATTTTTTCCTTTCCCTTTTGCATAAGGAAAGGGATTCTGCCCTTAAAATAGCTCTAAACTACCGTGTTTCCCCCAAAAATAAGACCCTGTCATATATTTTTTGCCACCAGAAAAAGGCACCAGGTCTTATTTGGGGGGGGGGGGACATCATCCTCTGACTAACCTCACTTGCGTGCGTCGCCCCCGGCCTCCTTTTTGCTGTCAGAGGCCTTCAGGAACTTCTTCTGCGGCTGGCAAGGCTTTCCTGAAGGCCTCTGCAGGCAATAACAGAGCTCTGGATCGATCCTAACCTTAACCCTAACCCTTGCCAGCTGCAGAAGAAATGGGTCAGCCAGGCAGGTGTTGGGGGTTGCGAGGCCAGGCTACATCTGTCCAAAGGTAAGTAGTAGGGCAGCTCCACCCCCCCGATCCCCACCCTAGTTTAATTTTTACTCGTGCACCCTGGAGTGGGTGGGATCTTAATTAGGGCTTATTTTGGGGGTAGGGCTTGTCAGCTTTCAAGATTTCTTTCCCTTTCGCATCTTTCGGCTGCCATAGTAAGGGGGGGAGGGTGAAATAATTGGGCTTTGTGGGGGTGGGAAATGTGTTGGAGGCGTTAGAGAAGGAACTGTATAACTTGGGGGAAAACTTTTATTGTTTATGGTTGGTTGCTTGCTTGCTTACTGCGCAACTGGGGCCCTTTATCAAATTAGGCCAAGGTCAACGGCCAGATGTCTGCATCACCACCTGAAGATGCCCCACATGAGATTATACACATCTTTGATTGGATGGACCGTTTGAAGTATTGTGGGTGGGAACGTTGCCATCACTTTCTATATGTGTTTTTCGCGCGCAGTTCCTCAGATCTAGAATTCCTTTGATGCTACCATTTGATTTCCAGTAAAAGTTCTTTTTCTCTAGAATAATGGAGTCTAAGAGTGACTTTTTTTGGATTTTGAATGGATCTGATAGGGCTTATATTGGGCACACGTGTCAAAATATCAAACTAGGACTTACTTTCAGGGTAGTAAAATCAAGCTAGGACTTATTTTCAGGGTAGGTCGTATTTTCGGGGAATGCAGGGTAAATAAAGGGTTAGTATCCTAACCCCAAATTTCTATTGTTAAGTGAGACCGTTGTTAAGTGGATCCCTTCACTTGTTAAACTAGTAATATGTTGCTAAGTGAATCTGGCTTCCCCGTTGACTTGCCTTCTCAGGTGGTCACAAAAAGAGATCACCTGATCCTGAGGACACGGCTAATGCTGTATCAGCCAATTGCCAAGTTGTCTGAATTTTGACCACATGACCTGCAACGGTCGTTAAGTGTGGAATGCGGTCGTAAGTCACTTTTTTTTCAGTGCTGTAACTTTGAACATTCCCTAAACGGACTGTTGTTCGGGGCAACCTGTAAAAAAAGTGCTTTTGTGAAAATAATTGGAAAACAATCCAGTTTCCTGGAAAACAATCCTGAACTCATCTGCCCTTATAATATCATTTTTTCCCCCAGGTGGAAGAATACGTTACTCCAGAGAAATTTAAATACTGGGAGAAAGTTGGAAACGACCTCGGATTTCATTACACGGCTAGCGGGCCTCTTGTGCGTTCTTCTTACAAAGCAGGTACAATGAGTTGTCTGATTAGCAGGACTGTCACAGAATCCAGAGTGCAACAGAGTGCTCAAGGATTATTAATTAAATTATTGCCAGTATATTATACTAGCTCGATACCCGTGCTTCGCTACGAAACTGTGTGGTTGGACTTAGTTTTCGGGGAGGAAAACTGTGCCTCTAGCTACCAGCATTCATCAGTATTCCTCTGGCTAACGTCCTGTCAGTGTGTGAGTGTTGAGGGCTGTTTGGAAACTGAAACAGTATTTGCTGTGTGAGCAAGAAGGAGACAGCAAGGAGCCTGGACGTGGCTTAGCTCAACTGTTCTGTACTAAAGCTGCTGCTGTGAAACTGAAACAGAAACTCCTCTCCTCCGCTTGTGTTTTGCATTTGGAATTATTAATCCATAATTAGATCCTCATGGAAACTTCATAAATCCAGTGTGCAGCAGACTATAACCAGGATTACTGTAGTTTAGATGTAAATTGCTATGTAATTTGCAACATTTGGAAGCTCTTTAAAATCAGACTGTGCTCTACTTCGTGAATGACAGCTATATTTGAGAAGCTTAAAAATAGACTTTCTTTCAGAGCTGTTTACATTTTTGAAGCGTCCTGTGAGGTCCAATAGCTAATTTCTGAGTTACTGGCAGATTTTGGAGAGTATTTAGCTTTAAAAACCAAACGAGGATCAATTTTTTGAAATATCTTTTGCTTTTTTTTGACTATGCTGAAACTTGTAGATGCATCAGATAGCACAGAAACTATAAATCCCAGATGCTCTTGAAATTTTAGGTTTTCCCCCCCCACACACAAAAACTTCCATTGCATCTTTAGGTTCCCTCCTGTAATTGATGGCTGTCCTATATTTTCCTGTAATAATGACAAAAATGGAATGGAAGATTTTGCTGCTTGGTTAAAACGTCTGCTTTTGTCTTGGGGCTGCGCAGGTGAATTTTTCTTGAAAAACTTAATCCATAAGAGAAAGAAGAAGGACATCTGATGCGTCCAAGACTGAAAAGAAGAATCGCACTCTTTCCCTTGTGTTCCCGATGGCAATATCACAGATCAACCCAATTAAAACAACCTGGAAGCCTTCGTTGCTTCATTAAAAAAAAGAATACAAAATATTTTATTTGTTCCTGGACCCCAACATGTTCTCATATTGTACAAATAAAAATATCAGTCATTATCCAGTAAGTGGTGTTCAAACATATCAAGAAAAACAGAAGTAGAATGAGACACACACACATTAAGGAATCAAAAGATGGATATGCATTTTTCCCCTCATCAATAATCACTGCTTGCTCCATTGGTCCCATTGTATTGCTAACCTGTCTTTTCAATGAGAATCCTAGGAATAAGAAATTCTCAGTCATTATCACTGTTTGCATAAAACACAATAAACGGCTTTTGTCATTGGCCATAAATAGGATTAAAAGCATCTGTACTATAAATGATATTCTTGATTAAACTGTTAGATTGGAGCTCAGCTACAATATTATCTTTTCCTCCTCAACTAACAAGATCACTTTATAAAAGGTATGAATGAGGTTCGAGTCAAAAATGAATCAACGTGCTGATTTTGAGGCCGTTTGACAAAAACAGTCCCTCAAAGAGTTGCTTGCAGCTTGTCCAAGGAAAAAGGGGAACTTCTGTTTTGTTTATGTTCATTATAAATGTGTTGAGAATTAAACAATCCCATTGCAGTGATGGGTATTCGAATTTTATATTTATTCCCGTGGGTACCAAAAAATGGAAGCATCCTTTGGTCATTATGTGTCGTAGTTTACTGGAACAAACTGCAAAAAATAAATAAATCAAATCTCTGTCTTGTAATAAGAATGTGAAACAATATTTAAGATTCTGCAAAACGAACAAATTTTCCCAGATACTTAAGGATGTTCTGTGTCCCAGTTCACACAGCGTGCTTAAAACCCAACTTTCCTTGCTTGGCCTTGGCTTACGGTGTTGTACGACCAACTTTGATTTATTCAGCAAACCATGATTACAATAAGTCAGCTTAATGTAGCGCACTGAAATCAGGTCAATTCCATATCTGGACAGAACTATAAAGTTCCAAGTCTGCTTTTAACCACAATAAGAAAGGTGTTTTGTTTAGAGCTTCTAAGGTGGGCTTCTGTAGAAACCTCTGAAAGTGATGGTCAACATATCAGTAACTGAAGAGGGAGAAGAATTCATAATTCCTTATTTTGGGTCTTCTCTGGAATAAGCATTATTATTATGCAAATTATCCCAACCTTGATTTCACTCAGGAAAAAAGTATCTCTTCGCTTGAGGCTTCCATACCACACAAGTCTAATTTAAACTTCCAACATGAGTAATGTTACATTAAATTAACAGGTTACTATTTATTAAATAGGATAGGATGGCTTTCTTATACTTTCAATCAAAGACATCAAAGCTAAAGTTGAAGTCTGTGAAATCTTGCAAAAAAAAAAACCCACCCTAAAATCTTGGAAGTTCGAAGCTGATGGGTTCCGTTAAAAAAATATTTAAAAGCACAATGATTGTATAGTTAACATGTCATTGGCAGAAGTCACAATGCTAGAAAAATAGACCTTATAGAAAAGAGAAACTGGTTGAAAATGTCCCACATAATGACGGCGTTCATATAAAATCCTTTTCACTATGCAAAAATACTAAACTTCGTTTAGCCCAGAGCAGAGCATTAAGCGGGGGTTTTGGTGGGAGATATTGAAATCTCCTCTGAAAATAAAAATCATTTGTAATGCTTTATTGAGGCTCAAAGGTGCCTGTTATTTTCTTCTGTTTTTCCTTCTCATCCCAACTTTTCTGTACCAAGGAAACCTAGACCCTGGGCTTCTTCAGAGGAGGGTCCTGCAGGCTGAATTTCGGAATGTCGCTGGATGATGCAAAGGGAATTCTTTTGGCCGAAATTTTCTTTCCGATGGTCTCAATCTGAAGCAAAAGGGAAAAAAAATACACAAAGTCAGCTGGCAAAGCATACCCAGTGTCAACTCATAAAATATTTCTATGGTCTTTTTAGAGTTGCCAACAGAAAGGGAAGGGGGAGCAGTGCGACAGCTTGCAAAACCAAAACTGCATTCCATAAATGTTTTCACAGATAGTAACTAGGTGACCGAAGTTTCTGCTACGCAAAAGTCTAACGAGAGAGCATGATCAATGACTCTGGGCTATGGACGTATCCCATTGGAGAATATGAATTACAATACACCCAGGGGGTGGAAGGAAAACCAGGGTCAAGAATGACAATGAATGGTGTGTCTCAGAATCGGCTACACCCAGGCAATGCCGGTATGTTAACTCCCAATAAATCCTTTTGAAGTTGTGGAAGTTTGGCTCGAGACTCCTGATTTAAATGGGGGTTAAGTGTCGGAATCCGGAAACCCTAAGCCCATGATGGTGAACCTATGGCATGCATGCCGGAAGTGGCACGCAGAGCCATCTCTGCCGGCATGCGAGCCGTCGCCCCAGCTCAGTTCCACTGTGCCTGCGCGCGCGCCTCTCCCACCAGCCAGCTGATTTTCAGGTATCTGCCATGCCTGTTCGTGGAGGCACATGCGGGAGATGTGTGCTCATGCATAGGGAGTAGGGTGTGTGTGTGCGTGCATGCGCAGGGGGGCGGAGGGAGCACGTGATGACAAAAAGGTTAGCCCTTGCTGCCCTGAGGTGATCCTCACCATTTTTGAAGAATGAAATCAGTATTTGAGAGGCTGTCCCAAAGAAGAGGGGGGTCAAGCTATTCTCCAAAGCAGGGGTCCCCAACTGCCGGTACCGGTCCGCGGAACAAGTCTTACCGGGCCGCTGGTTGCTGGGCGCCGCCATCTTTTTTTGGTAAAAAAGTGCTTCTGGTGAGCTTTTCCGGGTAGAAAGCTCACCAGAAGCACTTTTTCATCAAAAAAAGATGGCGGCGCCAGCGCTTCCGGTGAGCTTTTCTGGGTAGAAAGCCATTTCTACCCGAAAAAGCTCACCGGAAGCGCTGGCGCCGCCATCTTTTTTGACGAAAAAGTGCTTCCGGTGAGGTCACCGGAAGCACTTTTTCATCAAAAAAAGATGGCGGCGCCCAGTTGATGCCGGTACCGGGCCGCGGCGCCCAGCTGATGCCGGTACCGGGCCGCGGCATCAAAAAGGTTGGGGATCACTGCTCCAAAGCACCTGAGGGCAGGACAAGAAGCCATGGATGGAAACTAATCGAGAAGAGAAGGAAGGAGAGAGAGGGAGGGAGGGAGGGGGAGAGGAAGAGAGAGAGACAGAGACAGAGACAGACAGAGAGACAGTCGGAGATCATACCTGGAACCCGATCGCTTGCAGCTGATGATGGAGATCATCCAGGACTCTCCTGCCATCGAAGATAAAAGCCGGCTTCAGCATTTTCTTGTGAATGCGCTCGTAATCCAGCTCCTGCAAAGGACGCCCAAGATAATGTTTCAAACGATGGGAATGAGCCTCATGGGATACCTTTAGGTGGCACTTATCTGCGTTTACCTTAAACATGTCCCACTCTGTGCAAATGACAAGAGCGTGGGCCTCCTCGCAGGCTTCGTAGGGGTCCTTAGTGATGGTGACCAGTCGTGAGACTAAAATGGGAAGGAAGGAGAGAGAAGTTGGCGTCAAATCCATCGGCCCAAGAGAGTCTCCGTGGGAGGAGAGGCTGAAGCACTTGGCGGAAAAACAGAACAATTTCCCATTCGTATTATTTTCCCATGGTTCCGTTAGTACAAACGGCTTTCGTGCTATTTTAATGGTCTTTTGCTTGGTGATCCATACCAACACGCATAAAATAAGAAAGAAACGGCAGAATCAGAATCGACCTTGGAAGTCTTCTAGTCCAGCCCTCTGCTCAGGCAGGAGGCCTTCAATTGTGGTTGCAGGTTGAGGGTTACCTGTATGTTTGTTTGTTTTTTTGAAAATTTTATTTGGGTTTTCACAAAAACAAAATACAAAAAAACCATCTTTTTTGAAAATAGCATGGTCCCAGCTTATCACTTCTTCATACAGACACAAAACTCAATTTCATGCTCATTTTTATATTCTATTCCATATCTTATTACCATTTTATATTTTCTACCTAGTTTTTCCCCTCTTCTAATTTTCTCAACTTTGTTTTAATTATCTCAATTCAAATCATTATATTTATACTTTTGTCTGTCCTGTTACAATTTCACATTATCTTTTCTTATTAAGCAAATTTTTCCCTATAGTTACCAATTAGAGTATGACATCTTTATATCCTTTAATTTTATCCATTCAAGCTCTTATTTAAGCTTCAATGTATAGCTTTAAGATTATAGCATTCAATATAATACATAACTTCCAATTGAATTCTGCTTGGTACATTCTTAAAATAGACACTATATTCTTAAAAAGAAAAAATTATATATATATGTAAATAAAACACATTCCATTCCAATTCAATTCTATCATTAATATGCATTAAAATCTTAACATCTTTAACATTTCTTTTCAATTGAATATCATACTTCCTTGGGAACACTTATAAACTTTCCATAGTTAATTCTTTTTCCCCCCATATTTCTCACTTATATTTTTATAAATCATTACTAATAATTAAAAATGTTCCCTTTTAATTCTCTCAATCATTTTAATTCATTTATTTATTAACAAACATCCCACTGCATTACAATAAATATTTTATCCATCATCATATTTTCTAAAGTTATTTCTATTTGTAATATAACAGCTATCTTATGTACCTTTGCAGAATCCCTTTTACAATTAAATTTTCACCCATTATCTCTAAACAAACTTATGGTTACAATCCTTATATCTTTTCCCTGTTTCTCCATTTCTTGTTTCTGTCTTTTACAACTTCTTTTCCTTGCCTTCTTCCCCCTCTTCTTCTCCCTCCCCTTTTTACCCCCTCGTCCCTCTACTTCTAACTCTCTCATCTGTAATCCCCTCTTCTGTTGCTTTCTAATATTATACTTATCTGTTGCTTTCTAATATTATACTTATCTTTCAAATTGTTCTTCTTCTTTTTGGTTGTTTTTTCTAATCTTAAACCTTTCACTCTCTTTCCCCCCTTTTCTCCCCCCCCTTAAAATTATTTGATCATTAAAGATGGCTTCTTCTTTGTCCCAATCTTCTTGTTCTGCAAGCGTTTCTTGTTGCTTCTCATAGTTCCAGATTTCCATTTCTAAGAATTGAAACACGAAGCCAAAAGAACTTCTCCCTTCTTGTGCGTTTTCTTTCCATTTTTTAAGTTCCGTTTTCAGTTCTTCTAAGAGTGATACCATTTTAAAAACTTTTAAACAACCACCCAGTTAATTTTAGTCATCTAGATGCAAAAACCAAAAATCACCAAGTAATCCAAATAATCCAAGGCTGTTTCTATTTGCTTCTTTTTTCCACTTTCTCTTATTTCTATTATTTTGTTACCAAGTTTCCATTAAAATGTATCTTTGAGGAATCTTGTTAAAGTTTCACTGTAAGTTCCTTTAAATTACAGTTCCATTCCTTAATTCCAGGCAGTCTCCTCCATTTTTCCAGATCCTGCCCTTTATTCTTTTTTTCTCTCCTTTCCAGCT